TGCATGCAAGAGGCAGAGGATCAATAACTCTCTCTTATCACTAATGTTTCTATCTCTCTCTCTCTCCCTTCCTCTCTGAAATCAATTTTTTTAAAGTACTCTGCATAGAGATAATTCTGCTTCTAAGTGCTCTGAATTGTTTTTGGTTTTGTTGTTATTGTTATTGTTAATTCTCACCCGAGGATATTTTTCCACTGATTTTTAGAGGGAGTGGAAAGGAGGGGCAGAGACAAAGAGAGAAACATCAGTGTGAGAGAGACACATCCACTGGTTTGCCTTCCGCACACCCTGACCAGGGCCAGATATCCAGCCTGCAACTGAGGTACATACCCTTGGCTGGAATGGAACCCAGGACCCTTACGTGTGCAGGCGAATGCTCAATCCACTGTGTCAAACCAGCTAGGTCTGAATTGTATATTTTGCCTTACTCTTTTTGACAGTGAAGATTCTTTTCAAGAGAAAAAAAAAAAAACCATGGTTTTTCCAGAGTCTCTTGCTCATTTCTTTAAATTCCCATCCTTTTATGACATTTGTGTGGCTGGACCATCATGTTCTGGTCTGACAAGCACATGCTATAAAAAAGCAGCAGTGTGTACAGGACTTTAAATGATTTTGCCAAGGTTAGGAGGTTCACTATTGGGGACCTGATAGGGGTGGACCTCTAACCTGAGCAAGCGGCAGCATTCACCACCCACAACCAGAAACACAGGAACAGAATCAAGGAGCAAGACAATGGGATCCAAAACACCTACAAAATGAGGAAGACAAACAGCCAGAAAGGAAGCAAGAACTGTGGGCTGAAAGCAAGAGTCTGGAAGCAAGAGTCTGGATGCACACGAGGATAGTCTTATAAAGAAAATTAATCCTATAAGGAAAACCAGAACCTCTAGAATTGACTCAGATAATTGGAAAGGAAGGCAGGTCAGAAGAATAACTATGAGCATCCAATACCCACTTGGTGGTGGCTTACTTTGTGTCAGGTATTGTGCAGAGGATTTTTTATTTAATTGTCACAATTCTGTTAACTGATTGTCCACATTTATCAGATGGAGGGAGCCCCTCAGGGAGTGACTTGCTCAAATTCATCCAGCTGGTAAATAGTGGGGCAAGGATTTCAATCTAGACATAACTGATTCCAGCTGTTTCCAAATGCCACTTTTTGCACTGAGTCTGCTACAGTAAAATGAAAAGTGATAATAGGGTCAGAAGTTGCTATAACATTCATGATGGTCAACCAGGCCCTGGTTGGTTATTCAAGAAGACTTATTCAAAAGGAAATAATCAGAGGGGAGATGCAGTGACTGTGTATAGAATATGATGATGAGGCTATTGAAATTCAACATAGTCAATTTAAATCACAAATTGGAAAAATACTTCTTCCCAGACCACACAGGGAGCTGACAGTTCAAGGAAAATGAAGTTGACTTAGGCTTCAACAAAATCATATAACCCTGTTTTAAATAATTTAAAAAAAAAAGATTAATCAGAATCAAGACTATAAACACATAAACTTCAGCACTGTAGTGAGAGGTGTGTGTGTGTGTGTGTGTGTGTGTGTGTGTGTGTGTGTGTAACTGACTTTTTTTAGTTCACTTGCTTAGGCTGATAGAGAACCATCTCAAAAAGAAACTGTTCTCTCCACCCACTGCAGTAATTGCCAGGGTTTATACAAAATGACACTATGGAAAGCAATGGAGACAGGTTTCTGTGTTGCTCTGTTTTCTGTATTTTGTCGTCCATTCAGATGGGTCAGCTGGGAAATACCAAGCCAGGCCCCCTGGTCTATCAATTTTATTGATCTTTTCAAAGAACCATTTTTAAAAACATTAATTTCCTATTTCAATTTCTTTGATTTCTGCTCTATTTTTTATTTCTTTTCTGTTATGCTAGATTTAGTTTTTTTCAAGTTTCCTAAGATGTAAGTTTATTGATTTTAGATTTTTTTTCTTTTATAATGTATGCATATGATGCTATAAATTTTTTAAATATATTTTATTGATTTTTTACAGAGAGGAAGAGAGAGGGATAGAGAGAAACATCGATGAGAAATCATCGATGAGAGAAAATCATCGATCAGCTGCCTCTTGCACACCCCCTACTGGGGATGTGCCCGAAACCAAGGTACATGCCCTTGACCAGAATCGAACCCAGGATATTCTATCCACTAAGCCAAACCGGTTTCAGCTGATGCTATAAATTTTTAGATTTAGAATGCTACTAGGGGAAGCTCTTTCCAGTTCCCATTGTCATTCCCAACCACAGGCACTAGGAGATTTGTGGCCCTATTCCCTTTAGTGGTGATCTTTTAACAAGTGTTTCTGTTAGTGGACCCTTGTCAAACCAATAAAGTTTTTGTGTGTGTGTGTGTTTTAATCATGGATAGTGCTTTTTCTCTAGAAAGTTTTACAGAAAACTTAGAAAATTCAGAGAAGCAATAAGAACCAAATAAAACTCTAATCTGTCAGCATTTTGTTGCATAGACTTTGTTGGGGAAGGGAGAGGGAGGATAAATAGATTTACAAAAATAGCTATTTACAAATAGATACAAACAAAAAATCATTCTCATTGTGCTATTTTGTCAAATGCTTCCTCTGCATTTATTGGTGAGAGCCTATGAATTTTCTTCCTTAGCCTGTTGATGTGAAGCATTTCATTAACTGATTTTGAATGCTGAACTGGTCATGCATACCAACAATAAATCTCACTTGACCATGGCGTAAATTCATTTTATTCATTGTCAGATTTGGTTTGCTATTATTTTGTTGAGGACTTTTGCATCAATGTTTATGAGAAATATTGGCCAGTAGTTCTCCTTTCCTTTAAATTGTTGTCTGGTCTTGGTATAAGGGTAATTCTGGTCGCATAAAATGAGTCAGGAAGTGCTCCCTCTGCTCCTATCTTCTGAAAGAGATTGTAGAGAATGGGTATAAACTCTTCCTCAAATGTTTGGTAGAATTCGCCAATGAACCCATCTGTTGCTTTATGTTTGAGAGATTATTAATTAATAATCCAATTTCTTTAACAGATATAGGCAAAATTAGATTATCTCTTCTCGTGTGAGTTTTGCTAGTTTATGTCTTTCAGGAAATTGGCCCATTTCATCTAGATTCTAAAACTTATGGACATAAAATTGTTCATAATATTCTTTTATTCTCCTTTTAATATCTATGAGATCAGTATTGATGGCCCCTCTTTCATTTCTGATATTAATAATTTTTAAGCCTCATTTGAGTATATATTTTCCCTTGACTCTAGAGAGAGAGAAAGGGTGAGGGAGAGAGAGAGAGAAACATCAATGGGAGAAAGAAACATCCCTCGATTGCCTCACACGTGCGCCTGGACCAGGAATGGAGCCCATGACCCCTAGATGAATAGGATGACACTCCAACCACTGAACAACCCAGCCAGGGCTCATATTAGCTATTTTTTGTCTTCTGTCTTTGTTTTTCTTAACTTAGCCTGGCTATAGGTCTATCCATTTTATTGATCTTTTCAAAGAACCATCTGTTTTCTGTTTTCAATTTCTTTGATTTCTGCTCTCATTTTTATTATTTCTTTTCTGTTATTGTTAGATTTAGTTTTTTTCAAGTTTCCTAATATGTAAGTTTAGATTATTGACTTAGATGTTTTTCTTTTATAATGTATGCATATAATGCTGTAAATTCCCCTCTACACGTTACTTTTTTTGAAAAGTGGTATTATTAGTTTCATTTAGTTCAAAGTATGTTTTAATTTCTCTTAAGACTTCTTCTTTAACCCATGGGTAACTGGGAAATGTATTGTTTAACCTCAAAGCATTTCAGGATTTTCTAGCTACCTTTGTGTTATTGATTTCTAGTTTAATTCCATTGTGGACTGAGAGCATCATTATATGACATCTGTTCTCTTAATTTGTTAAGGTGTGTTCTGTGGCCCAGAATGTGGCCTTAGTGAATGTTCAATGTAAGTTTGGGGGGGAGGGGGGAGTGTAATCTGCCATGGTTAGATTAAATATTCTTTAAATGTCAATTATATCCAATTTATTGTTGGTATTGTTCTACTTACTGATTTTCTGCCCTTTACTAATAGAGAGGTGTGGAAGTCTCTGACTATAATATTGGATTCATTTGTTTCTCCTTTCAGCTCTATGATTTACGTTATTTTGATGTCCTGTTTTGGGGGTAAATATACATTAAATATTGTGATGTCTCCTTAGAGAATTGAATGACCCCTTTATCACCATGCAATGCCTCTTTTTATCTCTGATAATGTTCCTTGCTTTGAAGTCTGCCTTGCCTGAAATGAATATCACTATTCTAGTTTTGTTTTTTTTAATTGGTAGAAGTCTGGTAAATGTTTTTCCATCATCCCTTTACTTTAAAATATATATATTTTTTTATTGATTTCAAAGAGGAAGGGAGAGGGAGAGAGAGATTGAAACATCAATGATGAGAATCTTTAATCAGTTATCTCCTACACACCCCACATTGGGGATCAAGCCCCCAACCCGGGCATATGACCGGGAATTGAACCATGATCTCCTGGTTCATAGGTCAATATTCAACCACTGAGCCACGGTGGCCAGGCTCCATCCCTTTACTTCTTTTTTTCTTTTTCCATTACACTTTGTTATTTTAATGGGTTTCAAAATTCTGTGACAGATTTTTGGTCATGTTTTCTCTATTAAAAAGTACTGATTTTAAAAACTAATAACTTAAAAACTGCCACACACACAAAAGAACCAAATGGTCCACAAAACGTTCTCCTTTTCTTCTGAAGGTTTTACGATGCATTGTAATCATTAACCAGTCTTTTACTATTAAACTTAAATGGCCAATTGAGACAAACAGTTCTGAGACCATTCTTCCACCACTAATTAAGACTGGGGTGGCTGCTGTTGGGAATAATATTCATTTAGCCTTCTGAGCTTTCTGGGCAGACTTGGTGACTTTGCCAGCTCCAGCTGCCTACTTGTCCACTGCTTTGATGACATCCACAGCAACTGTCTGTCTCATATCACGAAAAATATGGAAAGCTTCACGAATTTGCATGTCATTCTTGCGCAAGTGCCATGCTAATCTTCTCTGTATAGTCCCAGTTTTTAGTATATGTGTTGCTGAAGCGAGCACCATCCCTTTACTTTTAATCTAGCCAGTTTATATTCAAAGTGGGTTTCTGTGGACAACCTATAGTTGGATCTTGTTTTATTATACACCCAGACAATCTCTGTTTTCTAATTGGTGTATTTAGGCCAAAGGTATTTATAGTGATTATTAATATAATTGAATTAATATTTACTATATTTGTTACTGTTTTCCACTCTTTTTCTGCCTTTTGTGATTTTTAACTGACAATTTTATAAGATTCCACTTTTTCCACTCTCTTAGCATATCAATTACTCTTTTTTAACTTTTTTTAGGGGCTACCTTAGAGTTGACTATATAAATTTACAACTAGCCCAAGTCCACTTTCAAATAACATTATGCCTCTGCATGGATAATGCAAGTAATAACAGAATATTCCCAAACCCTCCCTTCCATTCCTTATAACATGGCTGCCATTTCACTTATCCATAAACTATAATTACCAAATACACTGTTTCTATTATTATTTTGAGCAAGCTGCTATCTGTTAGATTAAGAAAAATAAAAGATTTAATTTACCTGTATTAATTCTTTCCCTGGTGCTTTTTCTTTCTTTATGTAGACCTGAGTTTCTGACCTATAAATTCTTCCTTTTCTCTAAAGAACTCTTTTAGGGGGGAGGGGGAGAGGGAGGATTTCTGAAGTTCTTTTAAGAATGAGGATCTGGCTGAAACCAGTTAGGCTCAGTGGATAGAGCTTCGGCTTGCAGACTGAAAGGTCCCAGGTTCGATTCCGGTCAAGGGCATGTGCCTTGGTTGTGAGCACATTCCCGGGGGGGGGGGGGGGGGGGGTGCAGGAGGCAGCAGATTGATGTTCTCTCTTATCGATGTTTCTAACTATCCCTCTCCTTTCATTTCTGTAAAAAATCAATAAAATATATTTGGAAAAAAAGAATGAAGGTCTGCTGATGGTAAATTCCCAATTACCACTACCTGAGCAGTCACTGACTATGCAAATCATTTAACTTATGCCTTTCCTTGGCTTCCAGAAATGTGAGATTATCTTTTTTTTTAATATATTTTATTGATTTTTTACAGAGAGGAAGGGAGAGAGATAGAGAGCTAGAAACGTCGATGAGAGAGAAACATTGACCAACTGCCTCTTGCACACCCCCTACCAGGGATGTGCCCACAACCAATGTACATGCCCTTGACTGGAATCGAACCTGGGACCTTTCAGTCCGCAGACTGATGCTCTACCACTGAGCCAAACCGGTTTCAGCTGTGAGATTATCTTTAAGCATTCTTCCTGCTCTGAAATCCTAAGTAAATTTTTATATATTAAGTCAATAACTTATTCACTAGGGTGAATATTAATAGGAAACATAGAAGAAGTTTTGTTTAAAGTGAAAAATATTTTTAAATATAAATAATCACTCCTCAAATAGTCATTCCATAAATCTTCCTTCCTAAATACCAGCTTCTCTTAAAGTGAAACTCATTTAAATGTCTCTGCTTTTCCTGTATCCATAAGTTCAGAAAACCTAAAATGTAAAGGTCAATAAACTATGGACTTTACGGAAAGATTAAATGTTAGTTTTAAAATAAATAAGGAGTTGGAATATTTCTAATATTTTCATTTTTGCTTTAGTGCTTACCAAATGTTATTTGGATCCAGAATTCACTCAGAAGCATAAATATTAGACATGAAGACTTTCAAAGGAAAAATCTGACTAGATCAGGGGTCGGCAACCTTTAAGACATAAAGAGCAACTTGGACCCATTTTCGAAGGAAAAAAAAAACCTGGGAGCTGCAAAACCATTGCGACATTTAAAACAAATATAACACTGCATATATTGTTTCTTACCTTAATGCTATATACCGGATCGCGCAGTTAGCTGTCAATCTGAAGAAAAAAAGGATTTTTTCCACTTAACAATGTAAAATATATTTTTGCAAATTAATAGCTAATTAAAATATTTAATTTACCTGGTTAATGGGATTTTTGCTCCAGAACCTCAGTGCACAGTGTCTGCACATCAGGGCTGTAAGACGTTACCTTTATTTTCACACAGGCTTGCAAGTTGTCATCTGTGAGGCGTAATCGATGTTTGTTTTTAATATAGTTCATGTTGGAGAAGACCTGTCACATACATATGTGGAGCCAAAGATCGACAGGACTCCAAATGCATACTTTTTCATGTTTATATAAGTGTTGGGGATGGCATTCCATGTTTCGAACACAAGTTTGTCCTGTTTGGGAAGGTTTTCAATATCACTCCATTTATGATTCTGAGCCAGAATGGCCTTCTGACGGGCAACATCCTCAAGAGTAGCGGCCAAGCATTTGAACTTGACACCCATATATCTTTGTCGGCTATATCGGCCAGTTCCATCTCAAGATCAGGTTGACTTACCCTGCACATGTAGTCATATTCAATAGGGATGGATCGATCGCCAGGGGAGTGACAGGGAAGGATAATGTGTTTTTTTCCTCTCTGAACTCACAAAATCATTTCCCAAACGAACTTTGCATTGCGGTGATTGCAGACTTCAAATATTCCAAATTTATCGTATCATGACTTTGTTTGAACTCTCTCAACGAGGGAAAGTGAGACAGTGTACCTCTGTAAATCTTTGACAAACACTGTCAACTTGCTCTCGAATGCCAAAACCTCCTCCAGCATGTGCAGGGCTGTGCTTCCTTTCCCCTGAAGGGTTGTATTTAGTGTGTTTAGATGTGCTGTCATGTCTACTATAAAATGTAATTTTTCCAGCCTCTCTGGATGTTCCAGCTCAGGAAAGGTGAACTCTTTGCTGGCCAGGAAAGTTTTTACTTCTTCCAAACATGTGACAAAGCGTTTTAGCACCTCGCCTCTGGACAGCCACCGGACCTTGTTGTGGAGCAGGAGGTCAGAATATATGCTTTCCACCTCATCCAATAGCAAACGGAACTGGCAGTGGTTTAAACCCTCTGCCATTATCTTATTAACAATCTGAATGACCACATCCATCACTTTTGTGCATTCCGGGGGAAATGTTTGAGCACACAATGCCTCTTGGTGCAGGATGCAATTAAATGAGAGCAGCGTTCTACCCAGAGCCTTCTGCAGTAGAGCCACAAAGCCCTTCTGTGCTCCTCTCATGCTCAGTGCCCCATCAGTAGCCACTGAGACCAAGTGGTTGGTGTTTATTTTTTCGGCACTTAAATAGTACAGGACAGCCTTTCAGATATCCTCACCCCTTGTTTGGCCGTAGCCCAGGGAGGAGGCGGCACTGTAGAGCAAGTCCCCGTGCAGCGCCAGGAAGACGACAGGGGCGGCGGGGTCGGGAGCCACCGGCAGCACCGCATCCTTGCAGCGCGGCCACGCAGCCAGGATGTTGTCGATGCTGAACATGCTGGCGGGCATCCCTGAACCCCGCTTGGGGCTGGGACCGGGATGGGACAGGGGCACGAGGAGGAGGAGGAGGAGGAGGAGGAGGAGGAGGAGGAGAAGGAGGAGGGGAAGCGCCTCAGCGTGTGGGGGGTCCAGAGCCGGAGCAAACCGAAAGAGAGCGCCAGTGAGCACGGCTGCTCCCTCCCCACCCCGCCCCTGCGCCAGCCTCAACAAGTCACCTTTTTAAAAAAAATAAACAATTCATCAGGCCCCCAATATTTTGTAAATTAATTAGTGAGCCATGCATGCCATAAAAATAATTCATCAGGCTCCTCAATATTCCGTAAATTAAATTAAGTAAATTAAATTTAAAAATGTAAATAATAATTTAATTAACTTATTTATTTAAAAAAATTTTTATATAATAGCCACAAATTTCCTACAGTGTACATCTTACAAAAGGACCTGTCTCCCATGCTTAACCAACAACAAAAATTAGTATTAGAGGTGATTGATACAGCTCCCCGCCCACCCCCTGCTGTCGGCCCTGCTGGGAGCCGCAGCAAAGGTTGCAGCAAAGGTTCAAAAGAGCCGCAGGCGGCTCCGGAGCTGCAGGTTGCCGACCCCTGGTCTAGATAAAATGGAAGGAAAGGGAACTAAATTGCAATTGGACAAATTAACACAGCGAGGCACTGTAATCTCTGGCATTGGGGATTTATCATTCAAGATTTAGCTTACTCTTTAACAACCCTAAAGTCCACATCATGTAACAACAGATCATTTTGCTAACACATTAATTTCCAGAATCCTGTGCCCCACGCAGCTGGTATGTGATCCCAGCACCCAAATTCCATGGCAGTTTCTTCTGTCCTTCACCTGTTGCTTTGGAGGGCATACTCTCATATGCACTATGTTGAATTTGGGAATTGCATGCTGTTATGGTAATGAATAATTAGGGATTGATGAAGATCTCTTTACTGTATTTTTAAGAAGAAAACATAGATTTTTTTTCCAAGATAAATAAATATATATTTTTTTAAAAACAGTGGCACAAGCTACCACGGATAACACAAAATTCCACAGCCTGCTAGATTCAGTGTCAGTTTAGACTCTTTCCATTGCAAGGGATAGAAACTCAGCTTAAATTTGCATCAGCAGAGGGTTGTGGTCTGTTATTGAAAAGCCTCAGGGTGATTTTTCAGGCTTACCTTGATCCAGGAACTCAAATGATGTTTTAGAGATACAGTTTCTCTCCCGTTATTGGCTCTGCCCTTGTTGTGTTGGCTTCATCCTAATTCTCCACTTGGAAGCTCTCTGGGCATTCAGCCTCCCAGGCTGCATTCCAACAGAGGAGAGAGCACCTCTTCTAATATCTCCTGTGTGAGTTCCTGGACGCGCTGACTCAATCAGTCTGGGTCACTGCCCACTTCTAATTAGTCAGGACGTGGTCATATGTTCCACCTGTGGAGAAAGAAAGGCGTCCCACGCAAGCCAAAACCCCCTGGATTGAGTCACGGAGAAATAGGTCACCGAGAGAAATTCAGGTGCTCTGACCCAGAGGAAGAGCAAACACATGATGAGCGACCAAAACAGTAAGTGTTGCCAATGGATGTTTAAGATAAAACTGAAGTGACCTGGGACTTCTGCCTATGAGAGAGAGAGTTGGAT